AACATTATAATAATGATGACGATAAAATAATATTATTATTATATTGTATACGCTATACACGTCTTTTTCATCGTCTTCGTCGCCGGCCGATAACCCGATAACACGAAAACCTCATACTTCGGGACGGGCAGTTGTGTGTACCTAATAACTAATAAGTAATAACTATTTTAAGTATACCTACATAAGACGTACACTATATAAATACTCGCCACAAATCACAATGTTAAACGGTGATCTCTATTATACCTATTGCGCGCGTGTGTGTATAAGGTTTTACTCAAACAGGTTGTTCGCACGCCAGACAGTATTATATTATGTATGTCTATAAAAATATTGACGATCGTCGGCACATTTTTCATTTGTACCTACATGGCTACATATCATATTATAAGCGCACAGGTCCGTCGGTCGTCAATTACAATGCTTACAATATATTTGCACCTGGGTGTAAGGCATAGACATAATATAGATGGACTGCGCGTTCTTCTCCCCTCGTCTTCAATAAATTCAGCCATAATAACAAGACCTGAGAAGGTAAAATAGCTTGGATAAAACATTTTTACTTTTTTATTCAAGGTATTATTTAGTTTAAATAAAAGTGATAACTGATAAGACTTGTAAAATGTAAAATATATAAACATTTTTCCATGATTATTTACCTTCTGCTTAAGTTTATTATTGCTGACATGATAAGGGCTAAACGCGCAGTCCATCTATATTATGTCTATGGTGTAAGGTAATAAATCGAGTAGTGGGTTTGTGTCCAATATAATAATTATAATATGGTAATTTATGTATATTTTAACAATTGAACGTCCAAACCGGGCGAGACAGGTCGTCTAAAGGCACAGACTAATAATATTGAATCATAATATACATCGAATAAAGGAATCGCGCTATCGTCGTCGAACTAAATCTATAACTCTTGTGCCATCATATTTTCTAGACTATTGGCAAACGGAAAGATTGTAATGTATATAAATAAAATAAATACAATTTATAACATTATGCGCCGATTCAATACCACCATGTAATGTATAACATTTGAAATACACGCGTCCATAGACGGTCTGTTCAAGTTTTCGCCAAACCGGAGCTGCACGATGACCCGACGAACATAAACTATTTCTGTATATAGTACATATTGTGGTACAGACATGTGTACAGATTTTTACGAGCTGTATTTACAGTTTTGATCTATGTGAAAAAAATGCAGTCGGGTGGCAATTATATCACGGGTGCATGTGTTTGTCGTAATTGTTGATTATACGCCCCGGGACAAGTGATAGAGCGAAACGATATAATGACCGGTGATTGAATGGTAGGTAAGTATTAAGTAGTACTACTTTTAGTACCTATTATACTATTATGGACACGTTATAGCCAGAAATTCAAAAAACGTTTGGCGCGCGCCGCCGTGGTTGGTGGCGCATCGGAGTTGCTGCGTGATATTCAATACGACGTGCGTACCTATATTATCATTACCACTTAATTACCGACGAGTCTCCCTGCGTACGAGCAGAATGACCGATTTGTTTGAACGTGTGATGGTACCTCGTACCTATTGATCACTATATTATGATGTGTACGTACGTTTTTAAATGACGTCGTCGGTCACCGATAGAAACTTATCAACATTATTATTTATCGTTTCTTTTATTGTATTATAGGTATAATAAAGGGACCAGGAATTAATTAAGTGCTGTAAATAGGAATTATTAGGATTTCTTAATTTTAGTTTAGTTGCTATTCAGAAATCCAATGTTTAGCTTATTATTCAAATTATTTTTAAACAATTTAAACTGCCTACTTGTCAGGTACCTACGAACTAGGTATATGTTTTATTTATAATTTAATTGGTACACACACACATATTATGTATAATATATAATATAAAYATTATAGAGTTATACAAAAAAGAATAATAATCAACCACAAAAATAAATGAGGTGTATCTACTGATCTACTGACGTACAAACTACAAAATATGTATTACTATGAAAGTATAAACCACGTTTTAGAATTTAATTAAATTTAAGTAATCTTAAAATTAGGTTACTAGCAGTCACTGTGACCACTGACCTATGTATTAATTTCATAATAATTAGAAATTAATAGTTATAGTTTATACCCTATATTATGTTTATACTCAACTATAGAAATACAGAGCTATGTTTTTTTCTATATAAATATAATATATAGCTATATATAATATATATAAAAAACTAGTTTTTGTATTTGGGGGAAAACGGAGGCAGTAAAATATGTTAGCGAGTGCCGCTTTACTAAGTGTTTCCACTCTGGCAAGCCATTTTCAATAGAATAAAAAAATCATTTTAACGCCTTGAATTGTATTCAATTATTAGCAGACTGTCTAAATTATTACAAGAGCGAAGAAGATTTCTAAGCTTCCGGGCGCCGGCTGCCCGTAACAATTTCTCATTTGCTTTTCTGTAAATTAATGGTTGGATATATCAACGTACAATTATTGTATAACAATTAAATTTCGAAAAGAAACTGGAAATYTACGTAACTTCCAGATATGAAATAAAATAAACCAAAGTATTAAATTTGTTATTTTCAAACATAAATTATTGTTTAAAAATATACAATTATACCTTATATTCGGGCCTCGACACACTAATTTGAGTACCTATTTTTATATTTTTGTATGTGTGTTGCCTCCGTCCTCTTAATTACAAGTATGAAGGATACTTCCCTGTACAAGTTCAAAAGTGAATTTATTGTATGTTTTTTGAATACTTTAATAATATACTATAAAGTTTAAATAAATCACATTTTTCAATAGTTAGATATTCGGATTCCAATAAAATGAACTGTACTCGATATTAGTGGACACTGCAGTGGTCGTACAGATACCTACTTAAAATATTGTTATCTGCTGGTGAATTATTTTTTGGCATGGTCTTTATTATTTTAAATATACATTTAATCACGTCATGTTCGCTTAATTTTTTTTAAACATTTTTACATTTATTACTTGTCCTTGTAATTTTCTTATTTAGTGCCTATAATTATATTTAAGCAGTACAAAAACTATGTATAGTGTATAGATTTAATTATTATAACACATATTAAATGCCTWACTAAATATTAAAATATGTACCTATCCAATACTATTAGTAGGTAATCACCATATGTATCTTTACATTGATTGAGTGTTATTTTTCAGTTTATTCAAAGCATGGCTGAATATAGAAAATTAAAAATATCAGCGATAGCTTGATTATAAAATGAACATTGTGCAAATTTTGTTAAAAGCAGATTATTCATAAGCATTAAACTCTGATCGTATTGTAACTTCGCCAATTTTATAATTAGATAAACACTTTTGAAAATGTCTARTAGTTTATAATGCGCCGAGGAACATAAAAAAAAAATTAAGGAAAAACGGGAATATTTACTAATTTTGAAACAAATTACCTTAGATGCATAATATTTTCACTGAATATTTATAATTGAATTTCCTATATACTTGATAAAATTATTTCAAATTATTTTCAAGTTATTTATAGGTGAACATTTAAAATTTTCATTTTTTTCTGTAAATGTCAATAACATTTTATTTGTTGGGTAAAAAAGCTTAAAAATGTAGTAAAAAGCTTCTAATATTTTGTTACTATAGTAGTAAAAAATTTAAAAAATTCAGTTACAATTTTTTTTTATAAGCATTTATAGTTCGAATTTTGACAAAATATGTAATCATCACAAAAATGTGCAAATTATTTTGAGTTTGAAATTCATAAAAATGTATCGTTTTAAATCAAAAATTTGTTAATTAAATACATGATTCTTCATAAGTTTGTCTATTTTTATCAAATAAAAAGTGACTACCGGAATGACAAATTAAATTTTTATGAGAGTTTAAACTTAAAATTTTTACAACATTGGATATTCATTCGGTTAGTCTGGTACCAATATTTTTATTTAGTTGTTAATGTTGTTATTCAAAAACGAATAGATGTAGAAGCTTAAAATTTACACCATATGTTTGTTTTATCAATCCCTATACTTGGCGATATTTTTAAAATATTTCAACTATTTTTAAGTTATTTATAGGCATTTGAAATTTGAAATTTGAAATTTTTCTAGTTTTAGATTTAGTTTGTGTCTCTCATCACGTTATGGGGAAGTAAAAGTGCTTCGATTTTTGACATCAGTACCTCGTTCGATCAGAAAGTGAATCTAGTTGGTACTTGAGGCTACATACAAGGCTCTTAACATATTGTTACAATAGCAGTTGAAAAATATAACAAAATTCATAGTCACAATTTTTTTTTATAAACATTCAAAGTTTGAATTTTTACAAAATACGATTTTGATGAAATTTGACGGTTCCTATAGTACTTATTTTGAATTAATTAAATTGTTGTATTCTCTAATAAATTAATGACAACAATATAAGAATATAAAATATATTAAACTAAATTTTACACATGGTTGAATTTCAGATTACTTTCAGTAATTGAAATCATTATTTTCTGTTAAAATATATATTTTTTTGGTTCTTAATAACGGTATATAATTTTAAGAAAGTAAAACGCAAACCACAGTGTTAACCACAAAATGTTGATTTTTCTTTACTTTCACAAAAAAATTGTCTTTGTATTCCCTTTACATAAAAAGTATACAATAAAGTTAAGTGCATACGATATTTTTCTGAATTAGATAAGTTCAGTAAAGTACTAAAGTTACTACCTATGAACAATTATTTTTACAAAACTATAAATATTAGCAATAATCAATAATTAATAGTAATGGTATAGGTAACCTAACTATTGAAAATCTGTCATTAACATTACCTATGTCGCCATGATATTGAGTAGAAAGTGGAAACCTTATTTACTTTAAAGCCTTCTATGTATGTAAACATTTGTCGATTGTCTATAATAGGTAAGTATTAACTTATTAAAATATTCCCCCATATAGCGTTAATTGTTAAGATATCTATGAAGTGTAGCACATTATTATAAATTTACCTTTTGTAGTTTTAGTGACTGTCGTTGAGGTGATAGTTGTGTTTCGAGAAAACTTTTCATTTTGGTCGATTCGTGAATCTTGTTGTTGCTGGACCACAGACTTCTTTTTTGGAGAAGGAGATCTGACTTTTTCATTTGAAGAACTCTTTTGAGGTGAAGGAGATCGGACTTTTTCAATTGGAGTTATTTTTTGAGATGAAAGAGATTGAACTTTTTCGACTGATTTCACAGTTTTTTGAGGCGAAGGAGATCGTTCATTTTCAATTGCTCGAACAGTTTTTTCATTTTTTTGTGTAGGTAATGGTGTTTGAGTTTCCACAACTGACCTAAGAGTCTTTTGAGGCGAAGGAGATCTGTAATTACCTATTGGATTTGCATACGATTTTTGTGGTGAAACACTTCTTTCCTTTTTAGTTTCAGCCTTTTTAACGTACTCGGTTTTTTGTGCAGTAACGTTATTTTGTTTTTGGGTCTTGGTTGGCAAAACATCTTGAAAGTTCTATAGTCAAATTTTGACAAACAAAGTTCTTTTAATAATACAAGATAAAGTAAAGTTATGAAATAAAATAAATTACTTTTGTTGTAGTATTGGTTGCCTTTCCGGTATTTGTCTCTAACTGACGTTTCACTATTCGAATTTGTGCTCTTATTCGTCTTCTGCGGTCGTAACCAACTGCTTTTTCAAGCTAACATTATACAAATACAAGGATGTTTTAGTTTAAAAAAAATGAAATAAGGTACATTGTTAAGTATACTGTACAATGAACATTAGCTGTTATAAATGCATTTCAAAAAAATCCCATTAAATATTAGTTCAATAAAAAAATTAATTACATTTTAATCATTTAAAGTACTTATAATATCTATATAAATAAATTTAATTAAAAGTGTATATTTTTTAATTTTAAATAACGAGCTTAGAAGATACATGCAAAAACTCAGGTATTAAACATTTATAAATATACCAATTTATATTTATTTAAATGAATGATAAAGCTTTGGATAACAAATTGATTTTAACATTTCTTAAAATGTTGATAAATTCTACCTTTCCAAATAATATATGACACAGTGATCAATTAAAAGATGATAAACTTGTATAATATTATCGTTGCAAAAAATCTAATTCAAATTTTTTTTTCCAAATCTAAAATTAAATAACTATAAATATGCACATTTTTGTCACTTTAAGTTACTTTCTTAAAAAACTTTTCTAATTACTTTGAGAAATTTAATATATTAGTACTATTTCACCTATAGTGACAGTTTTTTCTTCAGGGGATGTAGGTATGCTGATAATTAGTTTGGATTTATTTAATATTTTCCTCTTACTTCTTATACATTTATACTTTGCTCACAAGAAAACATATTATATTGCCTATACGCAACTCCTGAAAATGAATGTTTTCTAATTATTATTGATTTTTTAAATATTCATTTTATGGTTATTTAGTATATTATTTATTAAAACTGATTCATATATTTTAGTCTTCATGATTGTAATTGGCAATTGGAATAGGCCAATTGTATGAGAATTACATGTAATAATAAATAATAATTTACGAAATCAGCATACATTTATGCAGTGAAAATATACGACTTATGCAGAATATGTATAGATGGAAAAATGTATTTGTGTATTCATGTTTATTAAATTAAAATAAGTTTATAAATATATTAAATAATTGGTATTAAATAAAAATATATTATATATTAATTGAAATAATTTAAAAATAAACTACTAACCCAATTAATGGTTTAACGGCGTTGAGCATAGGCATTAAGACCACGGTAGTGTAAATTTTTGTTCGTCAAAATAATATGATCCTTATATTATAATATTATAAACATTAATGGATCTGCCATTAATTAAATATTATTATACATCTCATCATCCCTATACAGTACGCTTTATGTCCTAGTATTAATAATTAATTAATTTTTATTTTCAAAAAAGACAGATCAAAATTTCCTTCTAATCTAATGTAAATGGTTATTTTTGTTAAATATTGGATTTAAAGATTAATGATGATATTATAAATTATTTGTAATCGTTATATTTTAAAATTATGACATTGTGTTTTGGTAACTTCAGATTAACAACCAAAAATTTATGAATATGAATAATATATTTACCATAATCTCTAAAATGTGTAAATCAAATATTTCTTCTATCTGATTTTCGTCATCAGCGTTATGGACGGAAATTGATTTAGTTGTTGTTAATGTAGTTTTTGGCGTTGTTGTATTTTTCATTGTTACTCCAAATTCAGTTTTAGCAGTGGTGATAGTGGCTCGCTGTCTGGATGATGATGAAATCGTATCTCGTGAAAATTGATTTCCACTAGTCTCATCTATTGTATTGATTAATACATTTCTCTCAGGACTTTTAGCGGTCCTATTCGATTTTGGAGTTTCAGTGATTTTTCTATCTGGGCTTTTAGCCGTGCTATTTCTTTTTGGAGTTTCAGTGATTTTTCTATCTGGGCTTTTAGCCGTGCTATTTCTTTTTGGAGTTTCATTGATTTTTCTATCGGGACTTTTTGATGGCACTGTTCTGATTGTACTCTCATTGGCTTTAACTATTGAATCCGTAGTTGATGGTTTTTCTGGACTTCTGACTCTTTTAGTTAACACACGATCTTCAGTTTTAGTATCAGCTACCGTGGCTGACCTAATGCGTGTTTCTGATCTTTTACTTGTATTTAAAGGTGTGCTTGACACATGGTGTCTAAAAGTAGTTTTATTTTCCTTGTACGAGTTTTGAGTTGGTTCATTCTTTTCAAAAGTAGCTGTTCTATCTTTCACACTTTTTGATCCCGATAGTCTTCTAGCTCTATTTAATTCTTCAACTTTATTAACGTCGAATGTTTCTGTCTTGCTTATTTTTATTGGAGTTTTGATGGTTTGGTCAGGAGAGCTACTTTTAGACTCTGGTGATTTTGATCTTGGTACATTGGTTTTGTCTTTTAACGGTATTTTTTTATCAATCTTGGTTTCGAACGATGCACGTCTGTCTTTTATCGATGAAGATCTTGTTATTTTAGTGGGGGTTAAATGTGTAACTTTTTCGGATACGCCATTCGATTTTTTATTCTCAAAGAAGTCTTTTCGCGTTTTATAATCAGATGCACCAGAWATTTTTCTTGTCAAAAGAGAAGATGAAGTGTTATTAGTTTTTGGCAAATCATGAATTTCTTCAGTTTCAATATTCATTGTTTCTGATTTGATTACGTCATTTTTTTCGGTTTCCTCAATTTCGCCTTTTGCAATGGATTCAAATATTTGTTTGGTTTTTTTTACTGCTTGAGGACTCTGAGGTATTTCCGTAGTTTTTTCAGTTTTTTGTATTTCTTCTTGCTTGTTGACATTATTCAAAAACTTTGTAACTCTGTCAGCAACTGTAACGCTACATTCCTCATCTAAATCTGTTACGACATCATACCTGTTACTGTGTAAATTGTAATCATTGGTATCTTCTGGTTCACTTACAACATCAGCATATCTAGGCAAACTTGCATCATCTGATACTGAACAATATGGCTGGCCAAATCTCGCTGAATACTCAGGCGATGATTCTCTAGACGATGGGGGTAATTGAACAATAACATTTAATGATGTATCTTTGTTTGTCATTTTTTTTCCGTATTCTTCTTCAGCTTCAATTCTTATACTATCGATATCTTGAATTTTTCGTAAATCTTCCCTGTCTTCATCCTCTTCTTCCGAAAATGAAGAAGACGTTGATAAATTGGATGATGTATTTTTAATATATTTTGGTTTATTGGTAGAATCGTCTAAGTCAGTATCACTTTCAAAATTATCAGGAGGCAATTCATCCTCTAAATCTTTTGATTTTTGTTCTACATTTTTAGTTATTTCTACTTTTGTATTTCTATTTGAATTGGAATAAGTCGTTTTTTTGATTTGAGGTTTAGATATAGTTGAGGTTGAGATAGTTTTGGTATATGGTTTTGTTACTTTAGATGGGGTTTCATTTAAATCAGGCTTTTGCGAAGTATGGGTTTGGGGTTTGGTTACATTCGAAGAATGGATTCTCTTAGAATTTATGTTTCCTGTAGTTTTTTTAGAATCTATAACTGTTCTTGTCTCAGTAATTGATTTTACTACACCTAACTTTTTTTGAGAAGATTGTGGACTAATTGAAGGTTTAAGCTTTTTTTTTGAGTCTTTTTTCTCGAGAACTTTTATTGTGTCCAGTGCCTTTGTATTAGTTTCTGGACTAGTAATTTTTTGTCTAGATGATATTGTAGTTTTTTTGTCTACTAATAACTCTTGACTGGGCTTTTTAACAACCGTTTTTGGTGTAATACGTTCTTTTGAATTTTTATGTATCAAAGTCTTACTATCAGTTCTTGTAATTTTAATATCCATTTTTTCTCTAGAGAGGTCTTTTTTAACAGTTTTATTTGATAAACTGTCTTTTGAATCCTTGTGTAAAAGGGCTTTTTTAGATGGAGTTTTTTCTAAAGTCGAAGGTACAACTTTCTTAATTGATGAAGGTATCGACGAAGGCAAAGCTGATATTGTTTTTTTAGAAGGTGTGACAGATTTAATGTCAGACACGTATGATATATTTTCCGGAGACTTTACGTTTGGGTATGTTTTAGTATCTTTTGTAACTTCTTTTACTGGTGATTTTTCTTTAGATTGTATTGTTATGACATCATTAATGATTTTGCTCTGGTTAGCTACTTTTGATTTTTCATTTTCTATAAATTCTTCTTGGTGTGTTTTATTTTCCTTCTTAATACTCTTTGGAGGTGATTTCTCTCTTGGAGATGTTGTTATTTTTTCAGTATTCACTCGCTCAAAGGATGTACGTGCTTGTTCTTCTGTGATGAATTTTTCTTGAATGGACTTGTTTTTTGAATTTAAGATATTATTTTCAGTATTCTTTGTTACTCGTTCTGTATTTTCATTTTCTTTTTCATTTAAATCATTATCGATTTCAGGTTTTATAACTTTTATTAATTTTTTTTCCTCATTTATTTTATTTTTCGAATTATTACTGTTTATGTTTACATTATCTTCCTGTGTTATGTGATTTATTTTACTACTAAGAGTAACTTGTTGGGTTTTAAGTGTTTTGTAATTATTTACTGGTTTAAACGCACTTCTTTCAGGGCTACTTTCATGTGAACTATTTTTCTCTTTGGACGAAGACTTTCTTACTTCTTTTCCAACTGAACCTTCACTGCTGTATCCAGGAGATTTTTCTCTTCGTATTGGGCTAGTAGATGAGGATTTTTGACCATACTTTGATGTTGAAGTAATTTTCTTTTCATCTTTAAACAAGGATTTTTTAGCATCACAGTCTTTATACTTATCATAAGTGCCATGAGTTGCACCAGAACAATCAGAATCGTCCGAAGAGTCGTATTTTTCACCTCTAGTGGGAGTAATAGATCGTTTTTTTGATAAACCTTTTGTATGTGTGGATGACAATCTTCTTCTTGTAGAGTAATTTAGTGATCTAGAAGGACTTCCTGATTTCTCTGGCGATCCTCTATACTTTTCAGGACTCGCGGATTTAAACCTACGCTCTGGACTTATACGTTCTCTGGAAGGTGATGGACTAGATCTTTCCGGAGTTGATCGTAAGCTCCTAGCAAAAGCATCATGTGATGGACTTAAATCAACACTAATCCTAGGTGGCTGGTATGAATGTTGATGGGTGGTGATATATTGGCCTTCAATATTTTCTTTTGATGTATCAATAATTTTATCATCAACTTTCTTAGCTATGTTATCATCATTAGAAACTATCGAATTTGACTTAGTAGAAGAATCTGTAGTTGACTGTTGAGTGGATAAATAAGAGTCCAGTTTATGAAGTTCGCTTATAATTTTATTATCTGTCACCATCTCAACGTTTTCGGACTTGTTTGATGAAATATTTGAGATGTATGTATTTTCTATAGAATTACTGTCTTTATTCGATATATTTTCTGATACAGGCTCAAATTGTTCTACGTTGGATGTATAAGTTTCTACAACTTTTTGATGGTTATTTGAATATTGATTATTATCAGATCGTTTAATATTGTCCAAGTTTGTAGTAGATATGGATTTAGTTACCTTATTATCAATATTTGAGCTGTCTGAATTATTATATGACATATCAAATGTCAACTGACCATCTTCGTTATTTTGTTCGTTGACGATAAATTTGGAACTCAAATTTACATCAGATTTTTGAACTTCTTCTGATACAGAAATAGTAGTCTGCGATGATTCCCATTTAGTTGACGAAGAGCTAGACGTGGATGTTTGCAATGTATTTTGAGAATACTCTTCATTTGGTTTTAAAGAGCTGGTCTGTTCTATTTCAACTATTCCCCTATTACCACTTGATTCATCAATTTTCGACGAAACATAATAATTTTTGTTTGTATTTGATTGTCGTTGATAGTCTTCTGTCGGAGATTCAGAATCCCGGATCTCTTTAGTTTTCATAGTCATGAATCCTTGGTCCGTAATAGATTCAGTATGCGTTCTGGTTGATGAGCGTTTAGATGTTGTTTCTGTTTGAATCATTTCTCCTGTCGTATAAAACTCTTTAAGCCGTTGTTCTCGAAGTTTATACATTCTCATACGTATCTCTTTCTTCTTACCGAAATCCTCGGTTTGTTGCCACTAAAAATAAAACAATAACATTAAAGATATCAAAAGAAAAGTTATTTTTTTTTTTTTTAATAATCTCAAAAGACCGCGGCGGCTCTGGCCATTGGTCTACATTGCATTACAATATTACAATATTATTATTAACATTATTAACATTATAAATAAACATAAGTATTAACATTTATAAATAACCTAAGAAAAGTTATTATTTTATTTTTGTTTAATAAATTACCATTTTCCGTAACATATCCTCATCTTGTATAAGTGCGATGTCCGATCCTACTTCGGTCGCCATGATGTTTTATTGTTTGACTCTGTAGCCTGTAATCGTAAATATAAAACATTATACGAAAAACGATTCATTATAAAAGATTTTAATACAAATGTTAAATTAATGCGTTAGATATGTAACAATAAATTAGGTATAACAAGATATGTGACTCCATTTATGGTTACTATAATGTTTGGTGACAATGCAGACCTACAAACTGCACATATGCAATTCAACTACCTATATATAAACGAGTTTATGTATTATAAATTACTATTGGCGCCATTACCCATAATTGATATAGTTGATTTAGTATTTTAGATAGTAGTGACAAACGGACAACAAGAATCAAAATAAGTATAATTTAGCCTCGTAGTTTAACCCAAAAATAAACTCAACATTAACTATATGATTTTTGATATTTATAATATTTTTATTTATTATACTAACGTGAATTTTGTATTATAAAATTCTTATCGATGACTCTGAAACAACTGTTGAAAAATTTATCTTTCTAAATTAAAATGCGGTATCCAATGCACCTGTAATATGTAAACGGCTATAAAGATTTTGGGAAATGTTCAACCTACACGGAGTATGCATAAATGTGGGAGATTGGTTGTTTGCAAAAAGAGAGATTCAGGGTCATTAACATTTTTTTTTTTTTGACACCATAAAGTCGAGTGGGCTGTTTGATATAAAAAATAATAATTAAATTCAAGTATCAACTATATTTCCTATCGGTTCGAATACTGTTATAAATATTTTATAATAAATAATTTAATGATCGCCTTATGTACCTATAAGGCTATAACTGTATAGCGGTATAAGCATTACCTACGTCATACGAAGATTTGGCGATTGTCATCCTATATGGTAACCCATCTAGGTCATTTCAATGCACTTTGGTCGTATAGAAAATTGCCTGTCCTTGATGATTTAAACAGTGTTAATAAAGTAACGAAAGGACAGTACAGCACCAAACAATATCGATATAATATGTTGAGATGGCGATGATTTCCTTACAAGGAAGTAGTTTTTAACTGAGAAATAAGTGCTGCAATGGCCTAGACCCCAATTCATTTACATTACAACATATTAGTTTGCCAATGACTCCTAACAAGTTCAAAGGGATACAATACCATACACAATACACATCAACGTGTTCCACATTATTGATATTATTTTTCAATTTCTTAAGAAACATTACACATTTTTATCGAACTAATTGTTGTCAAACTGATCATTCTCAAAGCATTGTATATATATATATATATTTTTTTTTTTTGATTATGAACAATCAACTTGTATCGATTAAGCTATATTGAGACCATTATTCTTTTCAGATACATATACCTATACATAAACTGTAAATTTTAGATTAAATTTGAAAGCTACGAAAAAAATCCATTGAATTAATATTTATTTATTTACATCGTTTTAAGATATTGATTTACTTTATAAAATATATACAATAAGTTTATTGTAATAGGTAAAAACAAATAAGTAATTATATTTGTGGTCAGTACAATTTATTATTATGTGTTTTAATATATAATTATTAATTATTAATGTCCAAATTATTCAATAATATATTATTTGATTATTGACTGACTTATTTAGGTTAAGCTTATGAATATTTTCTTAATGCTATATATTATGTTGTCATTTATCAAATATGAGATGAATGATAAGAAGTAAAGTGCGTGTACTTATATTAATTAAACTGTATATCATTATATTTTCAATAAATAAAATAGGATATTATTATGAAAAATTAGTTTATTTTCAAATGAAAAAAAAAAACAGGTACCTACAACGAAGTTATGTCATTTATTTATAATAATAAACGGGACAGTCCCTTTACAATTATATTACATAAATAATTAATAATTTAATAATACACTATACAAATATTATGTAATACTAATACTAAAGCAGATAATAATATATAATAAAAAATAATTAGATACAAAAGATAGTATTATTATAAATATTATTATTATTATTATTATTAATTTTATCTTTTATTATCTTTATACTCAACACAATTAAAAATATTTTCACGCATTAACTAGGTAAGTGTTATTAATTCCCAGTATACTTTGAAAATACTCACCACTACCGGATACTATTATAATTATTTTTTACCTAAAAATCAGAAATAATGTGATATATACAAGTACTGTGCGTCAATATAGTAATATAGTACATAATGATTAATAATTCATCATTTGCATAGTTCATAAATTATAAATAATGTGGAGTATATCTGATCTTGTTTATAATACGACTGTACGAGTATTAAAATAAGAAATGTAGTTTATATTTGTTTTGTATGGAAACGAAACAAGAGGATGTGTGGGGGCAGTGCAAAAGGATGTTGAGTTAATGCGATCGCTACACGTGAGACGTGAACCTACGTTCGTTAATAGAATAATTACATATTTATATATTATATGCATGAAACGATGAAGCAATACATTTTGTTTTTGTAATCCGAGTCTAGTGATTACGGATGTATATAATTTATTATTAAGTAATTTACAGCATTACCAATATGTTGGTATTTTACATTTGACTGTTGATTTATTAGGATAATTTGCGAAGTTAAAGATTATTATAAGAGCAATATCAAAAAATGTTTCTGAAATTCACAGTGAACTAAAGTTTAATATTTCTTAAATCCCTTTTCGTTTTTTATGCAAATTTAAGATCTATAGATTTTAACGTATTTTATTAAATTGGATCATGCCAATGCAGGAATACTTATATTTTTGTAGTCACAGTAATTTATTTTGGTAATTGGTAAGTAATAGAATAATATTGGATACCTAACAAGGAGTAACGAGTATATACTATTATGTACAATTTATAAAAATGTCGTTTGTCTCTGCAATGTGATGGAAAAAAGAGACAAAGCTAAATCATGTAATGTTGGAGATTTGGTAACATTAGTAATAATAATAATAAAAGAGAAATTATAATAAAAAATAATAATTTCGACCTACACAGTTGCGCACTGTCAGACCACCACGCTAGTATGGTCAATAATTTTTACACTCTTCCAAGTAAATATTATATCTATAATAGCTAAGCGAAAATTAACGATTGTTTATTTTGGGGAGAGTACCTTTAAAGAAAATTTAATAGTATTAGGCTCAAATAAATAAAACCGTCTCACGCGTGTATAACATACTACACACTACGTGGTGCTTGTAAACGAATACGCGACATTTCTATAAACAGCTATGTAAGCACATTTCTATTTGTACAACGCCAATAATAATAATAATAATATAACAATTATAATATGCTAGCTGATTTTTTTAGTACACTTATGACTCAACCAAATCTTGATTGAATAAAAAATTGATTTAAAATTATAAAATATTTGTTTTGTTATTTTTTAAACTTAAATGGTTTTTAAATGAAAATATGAAGGTTATCTTCTTAATATTATATAATTACCTAATACATAATAATTGATCAATAGCTTATTATTAACACTATATAGGCATTTTACGTTCAGATGATCGGAGTAGTGATCAGAGTCATCAATACTTAGTTTTACATATTAGTAAAAGGTAAAAATATATTTTATAATACCTAGGTATTCCTCGTTAAGAAAAATATATCTCGTGTCTGCAAGGAATTAAAACAAAAAAAAATGTCTATCGTTGTATATATTTACTAGGCCATCCATTATTATAACGAAATATCGAATGATGTTTTTATTATAACATTTGATAACAAATTTCACCAAAAAAAAACATCTTACTAATTACAGATAGACTACCAGCCAATAGATATATTGGTTTTATATTTTCAAACCTAGAAAATTTTATTTCATTGCAAAAATAATGGGTAATCGTAAACCGAAAGCAATAATTTCCAATTAGGTATCTAATTTTATCAGAGGTCAAACTGCATGATTACATGACTGGAAAAATTTGTAATTTAATCGAAAACTTTAAAACAACTGGTTTCCAAAAATCCAATGAAAATATGAGTATCTGCCTAAGATCTTACGTTACGAAACAATAACCTTATAAGTATAAATATTAAATAGTTTAATATAATGATTATGGTTTGGGACTTTTCTTGCATTTCTTGTTTGTAGTTTACAATTTTAGAGCAACAAGTCCCGAACCTTAAACATTATAATATTTTTATAAGTAGTACGATCAGCTGGAGGGAGTTATCCGTTTCCGCCAAAATAATATTGGTCGTTTTTGCCATAGCCCTTTTCCGCCAAAAACGAAAAAGGTACGATTCYCGTTTCCGCCAAAAGACATTTCCGTAAAAAAAGTTTGGAAACCAATGGTCTTAATTTTTAAGCAATATATATGTTGTGGTATATATGTATAATATAAAATAGTAATGTCTCCACAGTCCATTAAAATCAACTCTACGTCCTCATTTGAAATCCTCAGCACAATCCATCGGAAAATAATGGAAGAATGGCAACTTTTTTGGGAAAATATTCCCCTTACCAACAAACTGAGAAATACCAAATTACTCGTCAAGAAATTAAACTATCCTCCCGGCACAAAAAGAAAAGACGAAGTAACAATTACTCGAGCCAAAATAAGCCACTCTTTCTTAACCCATGTACATCTCATCAAAAAAGAACCAGCATCCATATGCGATACTTGCAACGTAACTCTATCAATTGAACATATCGTAATCATCTGCCCCAAATTCACTGAARCACGCAAGATACTCCAAAATCCAGCATCACTCTATCAAGCCTTCAAAGATGAAAACACAGCTGCAACCAGTACATTTTTCCATAATATAAACACTAAATACCCATTGTAAATAGTAACTATAATAATGTAGTAAAATGTATTCCAAAAT